ACTGAGGCATAGAGAAAGCTCACCATTGTTCCACATCATTTGGGTTCCTACTTTGGACCTCTCTCATAACGCAGTGCCCCATGGCTACCCTAACCAGCACTGAGTGGGGACTGAGCACCACGTGGAGTCACACTGGGGGCTGTGCTCAATTACATTATTGTGAGGAAAGTGAAGGGCCCAGTGACACAGGTCTCACTCTCTCCTACTGCACAGCAGGGTGTCCTTTAGAACACTGTGGGTGATAGCTGTCAGTTATAACCCCAGAAGCTGTTTCTACAGCAACAGCTGCCTTCTGAGTAGTGGGCTCCCTAGTTTGTCCTCAGAGTGACATGTCCTCAAGTAGCTTCAGACCTCTACCTCTCACCACAATGTATGTCTTGAGGTCTTGAGCATGTCACAGAGGCTGGACTTCCTGCATTGACTCATTTAATGCTTCTAGGCCAAACACTAACTCACAGCAAGCAGCCAGTCAAGGATTTAAAAGTGGCTCACTTTGTGCAATGGGGCTTTTCATTCATACAACTCATCTAACATGTTGCCCTAAGAAATCTTTGTTCTCTTTCAAAAATATTCAAAATATTTTTCTTTAGTTGTTACCATAGAAAAAGCATGGTAATTCAAACACCTAGAAACTTACCTCTAGCCCTGTGTAGAAAGGGTTACATACCCTTTCTGTTTCAGTTCCCTCAATTCTCCAATGGAAATGACATTACCAAACAATGTCAGACAAGCTACTGGCATAGAGAGATTGATCAAAAAATCAGATTTATTCCCATTGTTAATCATGTTCCAACTTTCATTAGTGGAAATATAGATTGAACCTTTTATTTTTCTAATAGGATTTCATTTGTCCACAGTTATTTCATAGTCCCTTTGGGTTTATGGTCACTGTCACACTTCCATCTCTAGTCCACATGGAGAGCAGCTAAGTGACTCAAAAATAGTGGACTCTCCAAGGACAAAGACAGAAAGATCATTGACCAGGGTCATGTGTGTCTGGGAAGTGCTGTGCTTGAAAGAGCACAGGTAAGCTTTGAAATATATTTAGTGGCACAATAAAGGGTTAAAATGACAGTATTACGTGAAGAACTAAGTTTCCAAAACTTCATTCTGTGTGACCCTTTCTAGCACCTCTCAGCCATTGTTCCACTGTGTCTAGTGGTGGAATTTGTTTCTTCCTTGTTGTTACTTTGCACTTTCTTAATGTCTAATGAATATGCATTACTTTTGTAATGACAAAAGGCTTGGAGATCTAAAAGATTTCGTAAACATTTTTTCTGCCCTATTTTGTCTTGGAATAGGCAGTCACAGACTTTGGAAACTATTTTTGAAAAAGCTTGGTAGGTAGTGAAATTTTTGACTTTGGAACTCAATATTTTATGATTATTCCAATACTACTATGAAGCAATCAAATTAGTTTGGAATGTCTTGCTATCTGTGAACAACTTTTGTGGACGGGGACAGTATTAGGAATTATAAATTACTGGAGAAGCTGTGAATCGATGAAAGACTATAATATCCACAACAAAAACCCTCCATTGATTGTCCCATAGCAGCAGTAAATACAACTCTTCTCCTATATGGCCTCCAAGGGATAAAGGAATTAAGGGCTAGGCATGTAGCTCAGTGGTAGAGTGCCTGCCTAGCCTAGACCACCAAAATCCAAAAAGAAAAAATGAATTTAAAAAAAGTACAATTTCTGTGAATCCAAATTGAACTCTTTTTAAAATCCTCTTCCAGATCCTATAATCATTCTTCCTCATAAACTACACTTTTCCTATTGTTTTAAGTTATTTTCTTAGATCACTAATGGACTACTTAAATAATATTGAATTCCACTCCAAGGTTCTAGTATGGTACTGTGATATATATTCTGATTGTTGATTGTCCTTCATCAGAATCAGAATTCCTATTAAACCAATGGATGGCTTTCTGAGAGTCACTGGGATTCTTCTAAATAGGAATAAAACTAAAGGTATCAGAAGTAAACAAGAACTTCCTTCTTAAGTACTGATCTAGAGAAGTAAGTCAGAAAACATTTATCTTCTTGAGTAAGATAGAATGTTCTAGATGGACAGAAGTGTGCTCCTATACTGAGTCTGCTCTCACTTTCCATTACTACTCAATGTTCTGATCGATCTATCTTCTAACCCTGTTGGCTTTAAGGTCTTAGTGATGGGCTTCACTAATAACCTTGGAGAGTATTCCATTAGGCCAATGTGAGGTGATGGGCCAGTCTTTTTACAACCCAAACACCCAATGCTAGAACTACATCATTGCAAGTAAACTTAACGAGTGCTTTCTGTATCCCAGGTATCTTCACTCATATGAAGAGACATCCTCTGGAATAAGGCAGGTACCAACCAGTATCCCTCCACGCACATGGCATACTCCTTTCTCCATTCTTGCGATCCCTTCCTATGCCACCAACTTCTCCACTATACAAAATAGTTTCCAAAATACAAAAACTTAAGCAGCCACTATAGAAATCAGGTTGGAGATTCCCAGAAAAACTATAAAAGTACTACCATATGGTCCAGGTCTACTACTACTCCTGTGCATATATATTCCTGAAGGAATCAGTAAGAGGAAGCAGACTGTAGAGACACCTGAGCCCCATGTTTATTGCTGCACTATTCATGATAACCAAGCTATGGGACTAATCTAGGTATCCATCAACAGGCGAATGTATCAATTAAGTGTGGATATATACATAATAGAGTACTACTCAGCCATAAAGAAATTATGTTGTTTTCAGTAAAATGGATGGAAATGGGAATCAACATGTTAAATGAGATGCTAAATAAGCCAGATGCAGGGAGACAAGTACTACATGTTTTCTCTCAATGTAGAATCTTTTTTAAAAAAAAGGAGAAGAATTGAAAGTGGAAGAGGGACTATTTGGGAATAGAAAGGAGACCAGGAGGTGGGGGAAAGGATAAGTGTGAGTAATGGAGAGAAGGGGATGAATATAACCAAAGTATCTTATATACATATCTGAAAAGTCATAATGAAAGTCATTATTTTGTGCAATTAATATACACTAACAAAAAATAATTAATTTCAACAACAATAAAAATACAAACTTGCTGTTGCTATTCTAGGTCTTAAGGAAGCTTTTTTTCCTGCATTCTCTTCAGCCCACATTCATGACTCTCCGCTCTCCTTCAAAGACAGACTTCTTATAGAAGTGCCCAACAAGCTTTCTTCACTTCCTACCTATCATTAACTCCTGAAACCAACCAAACCTGGCTTCCATTCCTACCACTAGGCCACAATTTCTGCCATCACTGTCTCTGACAGCCTCCAAGCCTCTCTCCTACAACCACCTCAATTCCCCTGACTCAGCTTCTCAGCAAAGCAGAGAACCATCAAAACTGAGTACTTCCCCAAACACACTCCCTCTGGTTTTCCTGGCCTCACATTTGCCATCAGTCTTTCCCTGTGTCTATATCTGGCACCTCAACAGGTTTAGCCTCTTACCTGCTCTCTTAGTGTTAGGTTCCTTATTGTAGAGTCACTCTCTCTAGCCCTTCTCTTAATGATCTCACCTTACACATGGATTTAAATTTGATGACTTCCAAATGTGCACCTCCAACTCAGATTACTCTTCTGAGCTACTGACTACCAAGTCAAACTGTCTACCAGAGTTTCAATGTGAACATTTCACAGGCATCTTAGAAAGGACATCATTAAAATGAACCATGGTTTCCATTCTCCCCCAAGCCTGTTCCATCTTATCCTCCTTATTTCAGTCCTCTCCTTCTACCCATTTGCTTAAGCTATATACCTGAGTTATGCTTCAATTTTACCTTTGCTCACCCCGTACTCATTACCCCACAAAGTCCTTTCAAATTCATCCCTCAAAATATACTATAATGGCTCCATGATTCAAATGATTGGACCCTTCTTAATTCTCCAACTTCATCACAAACCTCTCGTTTCAATGTTGAGGCACACAGGCTGCCTTGCAGTTCTAGAACATATTGAGCTTTCTTTTCATACTTGTTTCTCAATCCCATTTTTCATACAGATAGTCCCTTTATATCTTTCATGTATTGGGATATTCAGAATTTTCACCTCAGAAAGAACTTCTTCAACTATTCAAGAAACATGGTTGCACATCTTATGCATGTTGCATCTTGTGCATTTTTCTTTAGAGGGCTTATCACGCTTCATACTTATTTTTGTTCACTTGCTTGTGAACAAGGGATGTAGATCCCTTGCTTGAACCCTCATTTGAAGAATGAAAAGACCAGCTCTGTTTTGCTCAGTATTATAAACACAGTATCTAGCACTATTTATGACACGTACATGCACACAATCCCCATTTGTTGAGTAATCTAATGAATATTTTGAATGAAAAAATGGATCCAAAGTGAGGTGGAATAACTTGTACAATTATAAATTTATAACCTAGGATTGGGACTGAGCTTTTCAGACCCAGGTCCTTTACCTTCCCTCTCACACTATACAAGCTCTCTACAGGAAACCTAAATAAAGAATTCACATTGAACCCACATGGATTAATCTTCTGTAGAGGAATTGGAAGAGTCAATCAGTCAAGCCATGGTGCTTTAGAAAGGAATCCTTTTGTTCAAAAAGTTTATAACATTATCAACATTCATCAATTGCTACATGGTACCCAGAAGATGTTCAAACATCAGATCATTGTCATTGTGAATTTGTAGGGAAATGTGATCAGTCAATTGCATGTGTATAACCATAAATCCTCCAAAGAAAGGAATGCCATGAATGCACTCACTGAGACTCCTTCACCCCAATCTTACCACTAGGACAAGCACGCAGAGCACAAAGGTGAAATGTGGCCTCCTTTGCAGCAAACCTTAAAAGCTCAATAATGCCGAGACATAGATATTTGCATATGTTCACATGCACATACAATGCAGACATTTCTGATATGCAAACACGTTACAGTATAGAAAATAATTTTATAAATACATATATTATGTGTATATACACATATATATCCATGTTTATGCAAATCTACCACATATATGCATATATATCACAGATGTGCATATACATATAAGCCTGCATAGGCATGGGGGCCTGTGTACATACACAGGTTACTCTAAGTTTATATTAGCATCTTTCCAAGATATTTACATATACTTTTACTTGAGAAATTCCGTGTATTTTTGGAAGATGAAGACACTACCTTGATTGTTTTTACATTCAAATATGAAGCAATGAGGACTACGCTTTGCATGTCACTCTTATTTTAAGCTACCTGTTTTTAATACCTATTTGTTTAGAAAGTGTTAACGGCAATACTATCTGCAAGTACTGGTGAATATTTTCACAGTTGCAGTTACTCTTTAGAATTAATGGACAAGGAAATGCTAAGGAAAGAAATTAAGTAATTGTCACATAAAGAAAGAACTGTCCTACACTTTCAGTGAATTATTTCACAATAAATCTAAGACTACCAGAATAATGAGAATATTAAAATCTTTGCTATGCATTAATTTATTTTACCCAGTGAGGCCTCTCCTTCCTCAGTGGTCTCCATGAGGTTCAGCATTGGTGCAGGTGGGCAAGACCTCCCACCATGCTACTTCATAAAACTGCCCCTGTTGTTTGTGTATACCAGGAGAACCATTGCCATTCTAATTCAACCAGGAAAACACAAAATCATTGTAATGCAGTTACTTGTAAAGGTTCTTTATAAATTACACATAATCACAAATTACATGTATTCCTAATGTATCTATGTATACAACAAATTATATAATTTAAATACACAGAATTATTAGATTTACCATATGATTCTTTACATTCAGAGTTAGACCATTTTACAGAGTTCAATCTTCCAATAGCCTCTTTTAAAATGCAGGATTGGAGTTCAGGTTTATTAACCTTTCTAACCATGCCATACAAACCTCTCTACAGTGACCCAAATAAGATGTTCACTGAGAATACAATTCACTTAATACCAACATACTAGGGGTGAGATTGAAACCTAAAAGCCATAGCAAGCCTCTCTGGATGATCCAACTGTAATTGCAGAGCTGTGTCTAATACATACTAGCCATGCCGATCTTCATGTCCTGCAGATGGAACCACCAACACTTGCCTTACTAACTAGTACAGAAACTCTGCACTCTTACTGGACATCTTTCTTGCTGTCTTCTTTTCCTTGCTAACTGGATTAAATATCCTTTGCTCCATTTACATGCATGCTATAATATAAAAGATGTGTGGTATTTCCTACCGTCTGATTTTTAACATATCTAAGACACTCTCTCCCCATGTTCTTGATAAAAGTTCTCCACCCACATTTGATCATTACTGAGGAAATGTCTCCACATGTTTAATTTCTTCAGACAATCAATAAACATTTAGTTTTCTATTTCAACTTTTTTCCTGTGCTTTCTTGGTGGAGTACCACCAAAATCAAATCCGGTTTTGACTTTGATCATTAATATATGTTTTCCATTGTAACTCCAGCACAGTTGGTTTTTTCCCACAATTCTACCCAACCGAAGGCTCATGTACAACTAACTTTATTTGTACCTGATGTTTGCCTGACATTCTAAGTCTCTTTGTAAGCTCAATTTGGTAACTTTCATGAAAATAAAAATCAAATTTTTGGTGACTGAAATAAATCATGAGATCATTCAAATAGTTAAAGTGGCTTCTAAGCAAACACAACTGTATCACTGTTCTCCAAGAGAAACTGATTTTTACTTGGCTCATATATAATGATTTATGCCATTCAATTCATCTTTTTCTATCCAAACTTATCATTACAATACACACACACACACACACACACACACACACACACGTACATGTTGATAATAGGTATAGAGAGATAGATAGATAGATAAATAGATAGATACATAGATAGATAGACAGATAGATAGATATAATAACCAAACACTGGTACTTTCTCTACCACATTCTTTTATAAGTGGATTTAATATTCAAATCAATAGCTATATTTTATAGATTACCATCAAAAATGACCAAGCAACCACTAAACATGGCATCTTTTTTCTAGAAAGCCCTAGCATGAACACCAGTTAATACCATCACTAAGCTTTGCTGTATATTTTCTACAGCCAGCTCAATGCATGCACTGCCTGCCACCTACTGACCTAAGACAACTGAACAAGTACAAATGGAGCAATCACAGCTTTCCCAAAGACCAAGGCATCACTCACTTCCCTTTTTATTCAGTCATTTTAGAAGTGTCAGTAAAAAGATATTTTTAAACTGAAACTATATAATACAAAATCAACACTCTTTAAAAAGAGTATTATTTAGCTTGCAGAATTCTGAAAATTAATCAATGTACCTAATAGAGAATTAAACACAGCAAAGATATTTGGAAATATAGTATCCCAAATCAGATATAAGACTGTCACAACAATCTACTGTTTTCAAGTATAGTTAACACATTGAAACCACAAACTCACCTTCATTCCTGCCATTCGGTAGTAGATGAACAAACACATTTGAAATTAATGTGACTGATGTATCACAACTATAAAAGACTTCCAAAGTGTGGCTCTGTGTAAAGTGTCATACACATCAGCTATTCAGCCAATGGCCTTATGGTAAATAGATGGTTGAGCATAAGTGTATTAGAAAATGAGGGTAACCATCTGAAATTTATAAATATTCAAACTTTTACTAAAAGCAGCTTGCATGTGAAATTTAAATGGCATACAGTGCTTGGGAAAAGGTTCCATTCCAAAGTTCTATGAAAAAGAATTGTATGTTCAGATGACATGTACTAATCAAATACATCTAAGCATCGTCTGGAAAACTTAATGGCATGCCATAACTTAATATCACAGTCAATATGCATAACAGAACCCATAATTATTTTTCTGATAATCAAGCCAAAAAGCAAAGAAGTAAATGAAGCAATAGAAAAAATGAAACAGAAGAAGACAAAAGAAAAGTACCACAAAAATACATTTATGATATTGAAATGACTTGGAAGCCAGTTAAACCCCAGGAGCTTTTTAAAAATTAGTGTTGTTGCCGTTGCTGTTGTTGTTACAGACAAGTCCTGACTGTCACTAAAACACCCACATGAAGCTGTAAAGAACTCAGACCTATTGTTATTCCTCTAAGCTCCCTCTTTGTAAAACAACTTGACACTAAAGTAGGAGGCCTGCAGGGAAGGCTCAGGTGTCCTCCCCATCCACAGCAGCCTCAGTCCATCTCTTCCAGAGAAGCTTCCAAGTGGTCATTCCTATGCCTCTGAGTCGTACATGTGCTCCTCATGACAACAGCTGCAGAACGAAGCATGGGGCCTCCAGCAAAGCTCAAGTGCTGTCCATTTCTCTGTTCTGTCACTAACAACAAACTCCTCCATGATGGAAGCTTCCTGAATGCAAACAAGGCCTAGGCCTTGCAGATGGGTTTGATTTCAATCAACATTCCTGCCAAAGGAGTATCTTTGATATGCAAAATGTCTAATGCTAGTGAATAATAAAGAATTATATTTCCCCACAAAACCTTTTCTTCCAGGAGGTTAAAGGAAATTGTGGATCTGTAAATGTTAATGTATCTATTGTAAAGATGAAGAAATGAGGGACAATAATTAAGAGAATCAAATGATCAGAAGAACTAGAACCATAAAATCTTGGGGAAAGTTAATATTTCATGGTCTTTCATAAAGCAAGAATATTATAATCCTCATATGGAAGTATTTTGAAACTTTATAGCTAGAGAATATTAAAAGCATGTTTCATCAATAAATTTTCACATGTTGAACATCTTAGCAATGTAATTTTTAAATGGGAATTTAAAAATATTAAATAGAATTATGTGCTAAGCTGAGGTGGTTGGATTTTACATATTTTAAACCATATTACATTACATAATCAGCCCACTTTGAGTTCATACAATTCTAATCTGAATTATGTATAATTTGGTATACAGACTTACTGCTTTTAAGGACAGTTAAATGCTCCTATAAGCATATACAATTAAGCGAGTAAAAGTAGGTAAGCAAAGTGCTGTGGGTAAGGAGGTGGCATCCACGTTCCTGGTTTTGTTTGTTGGCCCACTCGTGGCTCCTGCTAACAAGAGCAAATGCTGGCTGTGTTTAAATGATGGCTCATTTGTTCACAGGAGTCGATGAATCTGAATGTGGATATGTACATGGGTGCAAGAGAAATGAAATACTTTCTCGAGCTACATTTGTTTTCCATTCTTAATTACCCTCCATTTTTTTAAATTAGCAGAAGTGACTGTCAAGGAGACTTTGAATAGTGATCTGTCTGGTGTGATGGTATTAAAGCTATCATCAGGCCTTTGCACTGCATGAACTCCAAACGCAATACACCAGAGGCCCAGTACCGATGAGATAGAGATGCTATACCTGGAGGAATTCTAGGACGTTCTTATCAGAGGAAACCACAGGTAAAATGACTCATTCTAAATATCAACTAAAAAGGCACATTGATTAATTAACTTTATATTGATATCACTAAAACAAAGGAAGAAAAAGTATGCTCTGTTTTCAAATCTACCGTAAAATCGCTGGTGGAAACAGTTTGATTAGTGATGTATCTGAATATGCCGTCCAACAATTAGAAATAATAATCCAGCTAGAAGAGAGAAAAATATTCCAGCTGGGGCCAGAAAAAATGACCATCCATAGAGCACAGAAGGTGTGAACTCCCAGCAATCCTTCATCTTCATGACTTTGTAGCTTTCCATATCAGCCACTGCCTGGACCCAGATGACATATAACACCACCACCAAGGAGAACAGGATGCCTGAGAAGGAAAAAAAAATTAGCCTTTCCGAAGACACAGCACCCAAAACACTGTAGGAAAGCAATCCCTTTCTGAAGTTAAGCCTCTGCAAATACAGCCCTCACTGAATCATATATTCTGTGTCACAGTCCTCATTGTGTGCTTATTAAACACATCATCTACCTTCAATTTTTAAAGCATTTTGAGGCCTGGTGGAGTGGTTCATGCCTCAAATTCCAGCTATTTGGGAGATGGAGATAGGGAAGATTACAGAGGCTAGCCTGCACCAAAAAAAAAAAAAAAATTAACAATACCTTTATCTCAACAAACAACCAGGATGTGGTGGTGCAAGCCTGTAATCCCAGCCATGCAGCAGGAGAATCAAGGTCTGAGATCATGCTCCTGGCAAAAGTGTGAGAGCTTATTCAGAAAACAAAGAAAGCAAAAATGTTTGGGGGTTTGGGGAAATGATTAAATGGTAGAGTGCCTGCCTACCAAGTGTGAGACCTAAGTTCAAAAACCAGTAGCATCAAAAAAAGATTCCTGCCTTTGTGGTACTTTATATATTCTATCATTTATTGGGCTTTATGTTTGGTTTGATTGGTTGGTTGTATTTTACTGGATGCCTGGCTTGAGATGAGCAATGTAGCATATTATTTCTTTCAATACATACAATAAATAAGTGAAATAAATATTATTACTCTCAAGCTTTAAGTGTACATAGACATAGCTAGTAGGTTTTAGAACTGATTTTCAGCCTAGGTCATTAAATATGGCTATGAAAACAGAAGTCAAGGTGACTATCACACAAGGACTGAGGTAAGCACACAGAATGCACATAGAATAACACATATTACCCTTTAAAATTGAAATATATGTACTGAAGATTTCTTATAGCATGTGGAAATCCTGTCTTGAAAGAACAAGGGAAAGGAATTAATGATAAAGTATCTGGAAATATAAAAGCATAGATTTGAGATCAAGAGCCTTATTAAATGAAAGGTAGAATGACAGAAGTAAGGGAAGGAGGGAGGAAGAAAAGAATGGAGGCAGAAAGAAAGGGATGGAGGAAGGAAGAAATGAAAGAATGAACGAAGGAAGGAACAAAGGAAAGGCAGTATCACAATTTATCAATATCTACCATATACCTATGATCTATCAGTTGAAAAACACCATTGGAATTCTAAGAGTAGAGAATATACACAATGTTGGACTTCTGACCCTAACAACTGATATGATAGAAAAGCTGTGTGAATACTGAAATTTGAAAATATGTTTAGGTACACACTGTTTTCTTTTTTTCATGTAACTGCTACTGTAATTACCAGAAAACAATACCACCTCTGCCCTGAGTTGAAGATCCCAGAAAAATACTTATGTTGATTCCCAAGGAAGTGACAGGCACTACACACAAACCCCATAACTCAAAGGATTTACATTTGCCCCAAAGAAAAATATATTTGAGAGTGCTTTCTATATGGCCAAAAGTCCAATTCTAACATACAAAGGATTATTACACTCACTGAATTAATGAGCTGAACTAGTAGGAACTGTCTTTTTCAACTTTCTGTTGCCATGACAAAATACCTGAGAAAATCAACTTGTGAGAAGTGATTTTTGTATCACAATTTCAGAGGTTCCAGTCCAGGGCCTGTGGTGAGGTAGCATGGAGGACGAGAACTGTTCACTTCATGGCAACCAATAGGCAAAAGGAAACAAAAAAAAAGGGGTCATCATCCCAGTAGCCCTTTTAAAAGCACACACCCAATAAACTAACATTCCTCCACTACACCCCACCTCCAAAAGGTTCTGCTACTTCCCAACAGTGCTGCAGGCTGACAAACACGCCTTTAACACAAGGGCCTTTGGGGGACACTCCAGATCCAAACTATATCAGGTTTAAAATCTCCGTATTCTAACTGTTAATATACTTGAAAGGTAAATGCAATTCTGCTACTAGGAGCAGAGACTGAAGCATCTGGATAGAAGAGAGATGCTTTTAAAAGCCCAGCCATTGATCACACTTAGCAAGTTAATCGTGCTCCTACTGCACTGAGGGTACCCCCCGCTTGGACCATCAATTTCATAAAGAATCTTGAAAAGGTAGACACAAAGGAAGGACTCATAAATATGTCACAGTGGGCCAGTATCAGAGCTTAAAACTCCTCATAATCATGATACCAGCTATACAGAAATGAGGAATGAGCCTAGATGCCTCACTAATAAGAAACATCCTTCACACTATGGTCTGTAATGTGAATGCAAATATTGGTGTACAGAATAGAGCAATGTAGCTGCTGAACAACAACTATATCACAGAGAAATAGTAAAGCCATAGCTGGTGAGCAACCTCCTTACAAAGCTGTACTTCAGATTTTGACAACAATATGGCCATGCCATGTGTTGTCTAGCAACTCTGTGCCTTCCAATGCATTTTCAGCCAATATATAGACAGTTTTCTCTGATAATGTAAAGGCCAGGCTTTGGCATTTGCATAATATCTTTTGCCTCATGCAAACACCTTGCAAACCTTTATATTATTTGTTGATATGGTTTTATCTTCCTTGCATCATATGAATTTTATGCTTTCAGATACTATTATGAAAAAAGGAAATTGCCTTTGTGAACAAACAGTAGCCTTATACACATCTATTCAAAAGCTGCAGAAGCCACTGTTGAATTTAGAATGTTAAACTGTGTATTACAGTAATAACATAGATGATTCTTAATAAGGAAGAATTAACTTACATTTAAACATTGCTGTTATTTGATGATTTACATTATGAAAGCATTGAAAATGGTCATCTTTCACTGTAGTCTTTAACATTCTCACTAATTGAAGACACAGTCCATTTAATTTGTGTCAAATCAGTTTATGATTATATCTCACCCATGGGGTAAAACAGTCAGTACTTCCCTACCCACTAAATTGCAAGTGGGATGTAGTGGGGAGGAAGGGAAACAGAGAGTCAGACAGAGAAAGAGAGGGAGGAGGAGAGAGAGAAAGGTAAATAAGCTAACAAATTAATAAACATGGGAAAGTGTTTATATCAAAAGGATAAAGATTTAACTGGTAAGGTAGAAATAATTTATCATAAATACCTGCATGAGGAGTCAGGAAGTTGTTACCTATGACTACAGTGGTCATATTAATAAATGCACTAATGTTAACAGGATCATGTTTCTCACTGTCAGGAAATTCAGTTACAGATTTGAAAAGGCTAGAAAGTTAGAATTAGCCTTATGGCATTTTATTAGAATTAAATGTAACAGTGTGAATTCATGCTATTCAATAGATAGATAAGTGATAGATACACAGAGAGAGAGAGGTGAATGAGACAGAGAGAGAATTACAGTGGACTGCTATTCTTTGGGCTATTACTGTCTTTCTTTGGGCTCTTCACATCATATAACTTACATCATTGCCAACCCTAGCCCTGTACTTTGATATCACTTTTCACATCTGTACCCTTTTGGTCATCTTTACAATACCAGTTTCATTTCACTTCTTAAATAAATCCTCTAAACAACAACAATAACAAAAAAGTGTGAGACTGCATGCTTGCATTAAAATGTACATGTATATACCTAAATGTATTTCCTAGCTTTATTCCCTGAAAGGGACTGGGAGCATCAATATCATAGTCACAGGGATCACAACGTATCCTGATCTTGATTTCTAAATTCCAGGAACCAGAAATTCTCAAAGAAATGACAGAACCCAGGTTGGAGCATGAAGTACAAGATGAGCCTGGAACATCTTGTTATACCAGAAGTAAATATGTGCTCAAAGGAATGAAGGGCACTTTTCAGATGTAAGCTTAATGGGGCCTCCTGTGGCTCAAACTGAGACAATGGTCATCAAATGAATATTTACAGTGTCACATTATATCTCATTGAATAAAATAGGAACTCACAGCAATATAAACAGATGAGTTAATCTTAAAATATAAATGAAGAAGTAGTGGAAGAATTAGAAATCACTTAGCAACTATTTAAGTAATAATTCAAGCAAGAAACAAAAATTAATCTAAAAGTAGTAGGTGAAATTTAGCTGAAACTGAGGATATTTACATAGTCTAAAACTCCCTTTCCACAAAATACTTACTAATTATAACGTAGAAAGTGGTAACCTCATACAGAAGAAATCTATTAAATGCCACCTTATTCAAGTGAAGAAAGTTATCATTACCAGTGCCATGATGTATTGATGTCACATGTCATTTGAGGAGTTTCAGTAGGAAGAACACAGCATGGCTTATGGTATTATAGACAAAAATGAACAGCCTAAGTCCCATCCTGAGGAAACCTCAAGTAAACCAAACCCAGTCTCAAGATCATTCTACAAAACCCTCAGCCTTCACTGTTTATGTGTCAAAAGACACATAACTGTATCAAAAGACAAGTTCTGGTTTGATGGCAACTCAATTGACACAAGTAAATACAATGCATGATCCAGGCAGGGTTAGATCCTTTTACTATAAAAACATTAATGGGACAGTTTAAAAACTTGAGTGGAGCACAAAGAGTCCAGATCTTGAAAGTACTGGGTGAAAGTACTTGCAACTTCTGTATAAATTTGAAGATATTCCAAAACAAAAACCAAGATGAACGACTTTCAAGAAAAAGTGTAGCAAAAGTCAGTGGCCATATATGTTGGGAAGAAGAGAGAGAGAGAGAGGAGCGAGAGAGAGAGACACACATAGATATGTACTTTTGGTAGAACATTGTGACTATTAAAACTAGCAATATCATTGATTTGGTTCACCTACTAAGTTAGAGCATCTCTACTTGGAAAAAACTATTATGATGGAAAACACTTTATTAGCCCTTGATATCTTAAGTTTTATTTATTAAAATATAAACAAAAATGGGCTTGAATAACAAATGAGTTAAATTTCAAACTCACTTGCCATACTGATTTCAGTAAAATAGAAATTATTGCTAACATTTAGAGAGTAATTTGTTTTTAAATAAAATTATACTTAAATTTGGTCATATATTTTGAAAGCACAAATTTA